ATAAAAAACTCCTTTGAATAAACTAAGCAGTGGATTTATTTTAGTTTTGAAAGTTTACAAAAATTACATATAAAGATCCATTTCTCAGATCCATGCCATCCAGGACAGTTTAAAGGAATCATGGAAGTGGCATTCGTTCCGTGTTCACAAGATCATTATGGTGATCTGTACGGCTTAACGGAGTGCTTCCGATGCCCAAGACGGACGTACACAAACACGGGAGCTTCCACGTTAAATTCATGCAAAGGTACGTTTTAGGCACAGCTCAGATTCTAAAAAAAGTTTAAATTTGACACGAGATGATGCGTGTTCAGAAACGTTGGTGACAAAATATGATGATGGAAAAACGGTCAGTATCCTATATCAAGTCATACTGATCGTGTATCACACGTTTTGATCTTTAAACCAACTAGATTCATTATCGCCTTAAAACCAGCGTTCATAAATGTAAAAAACAAAACAAAAGTAGAAATGTGGTGAAGGCACGATCTGCAATAATATTTAATTACATTGTGGTTATTAGTTTACCTTCTAAAGAATGTATCTATTATCATTGCACTATTTACTACAACTTGAACTGTCAAATACCGTGGAAAATTATTGTTTTTTTTTCCATATTTATAACCCATTGTCGGTCAAAGCAAAAGTAAATCACCATTCACCACGCCATATTACACATTTTGAATACCTAATTGTTAACTATTTGAACTTTCATGTTTATGTCTGCGATAAGAAGTTTTGGACTAGTTCTTGTCTCCAATATGACAATTCTCATGCTACTCTTGGAGTTATTTGAAACGTGCATACAAAACTAGGTAACTAGTCTTATATCTATTCATATTTATAACGTATTGTCGGTCAAGACAAAAGTATCTATCTGTTTGTATTTAAAGGTCTGGCCAAGTGTTGTTCTTGTTAGTCATAGTTTCCCAAGGACAGACGTATTCTCTTTCAATTGCAGTTTCATAGATCCTGAAGAAACTGTCAGGCAAGGAAATTAAATTACGATATTTCCAGTAATGAATACCGATAATTACGCACCTTTTTAGCTCTAGGAGACCCTTTCTCGTGGATATTGTTTTGTTATGGTGGTAAATCACATGACCAGTCTATTTTGATATCCGTTTTATCGTAGTGTTTCTTTTTCGTCTTTTTAAATTTACTTGTAAGTTATCTTATGTGGCATTCATTTGGAAGGATGTGAAGATTCTATATCAGCCATTGTCATAGTTGGTAGTCTATTTTAATCTTTTTTTTTTTGACATTTATGAACGCTGGTTTTAAGGCGATAATGAATCTAGTTGGTTTAAAGATCAAAACGTGTGAAACACGATCAACGGTCAGTATCCTATATCAAGTCATATTTTTCCATCATCATATTTTGTCACCAACGTTTCTGAACACGCATCATCTCGTTTCAAATTTAAACTTTTTAGAATCTGAGATGTGACTAAAACGTACCTTTGCATGAATTTAACGTGGAAGCTCCCGTGTTTGT